ACACAGACATATGTCGTTGCAATAGCACCATCAGCATAACGACCTCTTCGACTGACGCATGGTTCTCCGGAACGTGGGTGCACGGCAGGCTGCTGCGTGCTACGTACTACAGACCCATGTGCCAAGCGCTATCCGAGTTATGTAGCTAATTTCTGTTGTCCAAGCCGGGGATGGAGTTTGTCAGAGGTGAGGTCGGGGATGTCTTTGGGCCTGGGCCGGGTCTGTGAGCGAACTACAACCGGAATGCACCGTTGCACTCCAACTACAGTGCCGGGGCGTGCAGATGCCACCGCCGTACCTTGAAGCCCATGACCTCCTTGTACCGGAAGGTCTCCGGGTAGCCCAGCAGGCCTGCGCTGCGGAACACGATCTTGGAGTCGTGGCTGGCGAACACGCTCGACGCTGTCCATGCTGTGGTGGCAAGACAGCGCCAACGGCAATTCAACGCTCATTGGTGACTGAAGACAGGTTGAAATGAAAGCCTCGACGACTTCGACGCAGCAGCAACGACCGATCCATGCGGCGCAAAGAAAAACAAAGCACTTCGAGCTACGCGTGAGCGATAACACGCAAGAGCGGGCGGCAGGGTGCGCGTGCATGCAAACGTGTCGTACTTCGTCTCAGGATCCAGATCCACTGCTGCTCTTCGCACACGATTGCCTCTCGCTGATTAGGACCACTCCAGTCCAAGCCAGACGTGCGACAGTTGGTGCGAGCTGCTTTCATTGCGTATTGTGTAAGGTTGCTCCAAAATTTGTTGTGCTGTACTTTTCTCTTCACACGCTGGTCGCTCCAGGTGATCAGTCGATCACGCACCCCTCAGACGTCTGGAAATGAGACACAACCTTCGGCGCAAACGCAGCTCTGTCTCACATTGGTCCCAAGCGATCGGAAGGCGGTAAATTCGTGAGCGCGCAAACAATGAGCTTCCAAGGTCGACGAGTGCATGAAACGGCAGAATGCTTCTCGAGAGAAACACTGAGGCAAGAGCCGCAGGAGGAAGGTAGAATCAAAACGAAGACAACCAAGACTGATAAAAAACCCGGCTTGCGTCCAGAAACGGACACCGAAGACGTTCAAACATCGGCGTCCGGAAGAAGAAGGCAACACAACACACACGCACACGCGTTTTACGCCAGCGGAGTCTGTGCACGGGACCGAACGAACACACGGTTCTCACGAGAGGCTGCACAGAAACCGGCCGCAAGACCCACAGAAGCAGCAGCTATGACACAGCCCGTGCCTTCTCACATTTCGCCAGGGAATCGTAGCCGAGCCCGCCGGGGTCTGCAGCCTTTCCAAAGCCGGGCGTCGCCGTCAGCAGCAGCGGGTCGGCCAGCTTGCTGGTGATCGCCTTTCCCCCGGACCAGACCTGCTCGAAAATGTCCAGGACGCTTGCGATGGTGCCTCCGCTGTTTATTTTTTTTGTTTTTTTTTTCCGTCCCCCAAGGATGGCGCGTGTGTGTGTTTGGCGAGCGAGTGCCGGCACCACATCGATGTGGCGGGCAGAGCACGTGAAGGAAGAGAGGGGGACGCCTTGAGGTTTCAACAATCTTCACGAACGCGAGGGGTGTGGTACAGTACATGTACCACTGATTGGCCTCCGCCTCATTCATACTCTTTTACCCTCTACATCTTGGTTTCGCCGCCAGCAGGGCAGCGTACCAACAGAGGTCACCAACCCAACACGACTCTTCTCTCTACAGCTAGATACGTGGGAGGAAATTGTTGGCATCACCAGAACGAGAGTCTCGCGAGAACTGCACTTGTGCCAAGGGGCAAAAACTCGCGTCAGCAAAAATGAAGACTTGCCTGACGCCGCCTTTGCTGGCACCGAAGTAGTAGCGGACGTCGTCGGGGCTCAAGCCATGGGTCCGCTTCATGTACTCCACCATCATGAGCGTTCCCAAGTCCTGCTCAATCATAAAGAGAAAATCACCAAAGACGCATGCTGTTTGGGTGGGCGGACGAAGCATGGACGCTCTCCAATGTACGATCCCGCCGGAAGCATTTCATCAAAACAATTGAATGCTTGTGTTGTGACAGTTCGAGGTTTATGCTAAAACCAGACCATCAGAGCGGCGTCGGCGTTTTTCGTCACAGAAACAGAGTTGACCTCGTCCATACCAATCATCATGTACTTCAGGCAACAATCAATTCCCGAGTGGGAGGGATGACTAAAAAATACGACGAATTCGAGACCTAAAAACCGCCTGCAAAACAAAGGAACCCCCCCCGTCGCGTCGGAAAAAGGTATGCATATGATGCGAGGGCAACGGCAGGAACCTCCAACAGACCAAGACTGCGCATCCTCTTTCTTGTTTTCGACGTTGGCCCGACAAAAAGGCAAGGGTTCTCCAAGTTCAAAGGGCACGCGACCACAGCAGCCCCATAACCCGTAAGCTTTGCGCAAACTTACTAACAATCGCCTCAACAACACATGTCCGCATGGGACACATATCCGCATGGGACACGTGTGAAACGAACACATCTTACCGGTTACCTCGCGGGGTTTTCCATGTCTCGGGAAAGGCGGACGCGGAAGGCGCCTCGGTCAGATGCAACCCAAATCATCTGTGTGGTTCACGCCCTCCCCCCCCCCCCCCCCCTTGGTCCTAGCAACACAAAGTGACGACGGTCACACCACCACGAGTACTGCCATGTTCGCCCCAGGAGTTTGTTGTCCGAGGGTAAGCTGTTTGGCGTCTCTCCTCAACAAACCGCAACAACGAAAAAAAACGGAACAAACACCGCGGGGGGGAGGCCGCCCCCCACTGTCTGCTCTATGCAAGCATCTCCCTCTCTCTCTCTCTCTCTCTCTCTCTGTTGTCGTCGTCGTCTCACCGCCGGGATGGAGTCGAAGCCGCAGGAAGGAACGATCTTCGCGCCGGTCCTCTCGGCCTCCTCGTGGTGCTTGTCGATCAAGCCCTTCACCCAGAGCGACTCCCCCGTAAGGTCGCAGCAGTGCACCCCGGCCGCGGAGCACGCCGCAACCACCTTGCTGCCGTAGTGAGCGTACGGGCCTACCGTGGTGATGATGACCTGTTTTTTTTGTGGTTCATAAACAAAACCCGAAAAAGGAGAGTCGGCAAGAGAACAGGGAGCGATGAGTAGTAGTTTGGGGGAAAATGTTGTTGTGGGCGGTGTCTCCATGTCACTGCGACAGCATTTGGATTGGAGGATGCACTGCAATTGTTGCGAAAGTACTTGTAAACGAATTCGTCTCCTCGAAGACCTGCGTCCATCATTTTCGTGAGTGCAAAACCACTACTGTGGGTATATCTCGAACGGGTAGTCTTTCTGTGTGTGGATGTCTTTTTCCTAGAAAAAAAAACGCGGGCGGAAGGTAGCCGTCTGGTCAGTCGCCAAAAACTCAACACGAAAAAAACGCAGAATGAAACGGCCCGATCGCATACGGCTGTTTCGCGTTTCCGCTCTCACCTTGGCCTGCGATACCATACCCCCGACCGCCTCGTCGTCCAGGCTGTCGGCTACGATGGTGGGCAGGGTCGAGGCAGCGGAATCGATCTCGGACGCTAGGCGTTCCTTGAGCGCCGTAAGCTTCGACTCGGATCTACGAAGCGGGTTCGCGGGGAGTCAGCAAGAGGACGTCAGGACCCGACCGACAAAACAGACTCAGCAACGACCGTAGAGCTGGTGCAGCAGCAACAGCAAGCAGCTGAACACAAAAAAAGCTGCTGTTGTTGTGTGCTCGTGAGCTCGTTCGGCCCTCCGCCGTCCAGCGGTCTCGCACCAAATTGCAAATTACCCCCCTGCTGGTGGGGGCAATTTCGAACTTGTTGGCGTGCTACAGGCTTCTTGATCTAGCACCGTAGTATGCTACCAACCACGCCACATGAGGCCACCGTTGGCGTGCGCGCTGGCTCTATGTCCACCGTCTCCGGAAAACAGCAGTTAAGACCTGCAGTTGACAGTAAATAGTTAGGACGCACACCTATCTGTACCCTTAATTTCCAACACCCGCTGTTCGCCGTTGCAGGAAGACGGACGGGAACCAATGGTAGCAACATAGGAGAGGGTCTAGATTGCGACAGCAACCTGGTGTCTCCGGGCGGCGTGTTGCGGGGGATAGAAAGGAAACCCTCCGTCCTCCGTCGAAGACAGGGTCCCCAATTCGGCCTGTTACACAAACAACGAGGAGAGGCCGGCTGCGCAGCGTAGAACATGACTCACCGCGCTGCCACCGCCCACTTGAAGGTCGGAGGCGAAGCCCCGTAGTTCGCGAGGTAGTACTCGCACACGAGCTGTCCTGCGAAGGACGTTGCTCCGAACACCACGACGTCGTACTTGTTGCTTGAGTCTGACATGGCGGGAGGCGAAGTGCCCAGTGACGAGAGGAGAGGAGAGAGCTTAAGGCTGGCAGCAGCAGTGCTTCGGTGCAAGCGAAAGCTTTTTTGGGGTGCCCAGGGCAGTCGGTATGCGGTAGTGGGGCGAAGGGCACAGCTGGATACGCAACAGAGAGCACTGGTCCAGATGGTTCTTCGCATATCACACGTGCACGATGATGACGTAAGGAGGTGCACCATAGCCAAGAGCCAAGAGAGGGCGGTTCGTGCGGCGCAACTTGCCGAGGGGGGACCACGGATGGCATGAAAATGGATCCAAGGCAGGGAGGGGTGGTCCTTCTACCCGCCGAGCGTACGTTTGTTGTCGGTTGTTTGTAGATCCAACACCACACCTTGCACCATGATGCACGTCATCATCACGCGTGTATGCATACAGGCGCCAGTTTAGTTGCAGAAAGAGTAGAATGTTTGGTGCTCGGTTTACAAGCATATAGCGGTGGCAATTGCAAAGGGGCATACGGTCTTGTTTCTGATCCAAAAAAGCTGAATACAACTTCGGGGCGATCTGCAAACGGCAGCAAGGAGGGATCCGCCGCTGTCAACCCCCTCACATCCCATAATTGCTCCCACCTCTACCACTACAACCTTCACAGCCGGCGAGAACTGGCCGCTTTGCGCCACCAACAACTGGCGATGGTGGCAGTGAAGACGGCTTGTGATGTCCACCGGAGATCGAAAGGAAATATCCAGGAGCCGCGGGAAGGCGGCGAAGGAGGCAGCAGGGGCGGGACCAGGACAGCGGGAGTACAACAATGCGTACTCTCATCACCCCGCCAGCACACAAGACGAAGGTCGAAAGCGTTGTGCTTGGTTTGGAGGATTTTGGTCCTCGTCGCTGTCCAGAGGTGGTCATCATCCAGATCTACCAGTAGCAGTAGCAACCGCACCTCAGCAGTGCTAGTGCTCGGCGCGTCGGTGTCGGTGGGCTTTGGCGGGGGGTGTCCCAGCGCATGCAGCGGCCACGGGTACTGCACAGGCCCCAGCACTGAGACTTGTGCTTGCCACCAGGGCTGGGCCGGCGGCGACTGCTCGATCCGTGAGTACTCGTATCCGTACTTGAAATCTAGTTTGGTTGCCGTTGTGGAGCCATCCACCCAATAGTTTGTTGTGCCATTGCCTGCTGGGCGCAGTCCTCTACGGTACTGCAGTAGTCTGGTGCACAACAAATACTTCGGGAAGCTCCAACATCTTGCATGAGCCGTGCTGAAACCCTACGATCGTACGGGTCGAAGTTGTTTACCATGCGATTTTCACGATTGGTGGCAGGGCTTTGTCCAAGCGGAGCCGCCTGGGTGGACCACGCCACGGCAAACAACACCGCACATGCAGCCTACACAGAGTGTTCAAACATGGGAGTGTGCGACCGGGCCACCGGGCTCTGCTCGTGTCGGACAGGCTTCACAGGGGAGGCCTGCCAGCGCATGGAGTGCTTGAACGACTGCAATGGGCGAGGGAGGTAACCCACGCTTCAATTATGGCTGTCATGTGCACACGGACGTGAAGAAGCCGTACAGACGTAGACGTCCACTTGGTATTGCAGCACCACGTTGCCACTGCATCATCATATGTAGCCAACCACGGCCACTCGGCTGCCTTGCTATACCTCGGTACCGCCGTGGGCTCCCCCCCCCCATACTGCACCGGAATCGCATCCTCAAGCAGCGTTTCTGCTTCCGCAGGAGAGGTGCGTGGGGAAGCTACCATTCCAGCGGTACCCTATTTATCTATTTACTTCTTACAGGGAGGTGTCACTTTGTTGCAAGCGAGGAGTGTGAACATGCTGTCGAGCTGTAGTTGTCTTGCATGAGCCCCCCCTTCTTCGTTGTTGACCCGCAACAGGTGTATGTCCATGCGCGAAGCGGCGGCGTTGATTGACGGGGATAGTTTAGAGTTCGAGGGCGTATATGACGGCTGGGATGCCGACATGATTTACGGCTGCCTGTGCGACGACGGCTGGGAAGGATATGACTGTTCAAAAAGGTGAGATCAGTGCGAAACCGGTTGCCCCTCGCACATCGTTTGACACTGCTGTCCATCGCAGTGTTTGCCCCTGCACATCAGTCACGGGGAGAGAGAACTGATGCCAGTAGATTCTCGCATCCCAATGTAGCTAGGATGGAGTACATCAATCAATCGGCTTCCCCCGCCGAGGAAGGCATAGCACCAAGCGCAAATGCCTCCAGGCCATCGGCAAGTTCCGTGAAGAGTGGAATGCACCGCGAAAAGAGAACAGGGCAATATGGCGGCTACGTTTGTATGAAAAGTCTAAATGACGTACGGGATATGAAATCAGTTGCATGTCATGATTGACCCCCACACACGAAATATGGCAATAATAACATGCGTTGCGTGCTCCCATGTCGTCGGGAATGACCCAAGGCAGAAGGTCAGCCTGCCAAATTTCATTGGCTTGGAAAATTACAGCACGGAATACACGTTTCATGCTACCGCTTGACTCCCGTCGCGCTCTCCATCGCTTTAAAAATGATTTCATTTGCAGGGCTCGTGTGGCGTGAGAAGAGCTCTTTCCGACACATTCTTCGCACCGACACAAGCCAACTCATTTTGTAGACCTTTGACCATCTAATCTTTCACCGGTCTATCCTTTTCACGCGTCAAACTATTGCACCCGCCACATACGGAACATGCGGATCGTCTTTGTTTCGTACTCAGGTCTTGCCCTAAAGGCGTTGACCCGTTCCCTGACATCGTGGGCGAGGACGAGGAGCAGCTGATCGACTGCTACTGCCCCGGGCAGTGCTCGGGATCGCTACTGCTGGCTTTCCGGGGGCACAGCACCCGACCTATCCCCTTCGATGCATCGGCGGAACTTGTCAAGTACCGGCTCGAGGTATTGTGCGAGTGTTGTCCCGCTGTTGTTGCTGTTGTTATTGTCGTCGTCATCGTCGTCGTCGCTGTTGCTGTTGTTGTTCTTGCAGTTGTTATAGTTGCCTTCAAGTCAAAATGACTCACGGGTCTCTCAAGCATTTTGTTCTCCGTACGAATTCCTTCGGTACGATAAGAATGATATTTCGTGTCCATTCTTCTTCGCCATGGCTCGTTCCATCTTGGGGTCCATACGTAGCGGGGTATTGGGTGCTTTATGTTGTTGCTTATCGTCTACCCTTGATTTGTCCTTTTCAAACGTCGCTTCATGATGTTTCGTAGACGTATGTTTGAAAAACAAATGTTGTTGGCCGCAGACTGTTTTTTCTGCTTCTTCTGCCTATTGCACGCCCCCCATTCCCCTTTTCTTCCTCTCCCCGTGTACAAAGTGCGTGTACCAAACCTACGAAAACGCGACGAATCAGTCTATCGGGTGTCTCTCACTTTCTCCACCCATGCGGACGGAAAGCAAACAATCATACAAACCGCGCCCGCCGTTGTATTGCATTCGGACACACCAACACACAGTAGCACGTTGTTTCGCCTCGCGCAGGAGCTTGACACGGTCGACGTGGTCTCAGTAAACATTACCGGGATAGGGGGCATGATCTGCAGCGGCAACGACGGTATCACCAGCCGCGTGGCTTTTCTCCTGCAGCACGGTCCGCTGTCGAACATGACCGCGGACGTCGCCTCGCTGGCGTCCACCACAGACGACCCATCTGTGGTAGTGTATGCGAAAGGACATGTGAGTATTACACTACTGTATCTGTCTTCTGTATAGCCTCAACAATGTTTCGTAGTGCAGAGGATGATTTTAAGCCCGTCAACGCCTGAAGTGTCGACCACAGAACCTGATTTCAAATAGGAGAGAGGAATTCAGGGTACCATCGGGTGAATTCTGGCATGGCGAGGCTTGTAACAGACGAATACATGAGTTGCACGTGAATCTTAGGCTCCAAGAGAGTGGATTGAAGTTACACAACCCGAATCCATAGAAACTCAACCAATATTGATTTTGTGCCGTTTTTGGAAGACACCGACCGTTTTGGTAGTTTTCCGTTGCAAGAGCAGCGCGCGGAGGGCATGGGATGCCTTGGAATTGGCGAATGATTTGAGAGGAAATGCCCGATCTTACGATGTCCGAAAAGCGCGCTGTCCCGGCCGCGCACAAGCAGTTGCTCGCTTGTTCCTTATGCGACCCAGCTTTCATGTGTCACGTGTATCCTCCCACGGCAGTTGAAAACACGGTGAAGCTGGTGCTGTTCGCGAAGGAAATCTGAACGCAATGTCAACTCAAACAGTATACATCCCCACCGGCACGCCCGGACGTAAATATACTTCTGACACCCATTTTTTTCTGCACCAAACATTCCAACAGCATGCATGCATACATGCAACAATTTTCTACCCAGTGATCATTGAAAGGCCTCTACACGACGAACGTACCTTCTGCATGTTCTTCTTCCCAAATAATATCAAAGTTTGGAAGCCCGAAGACGGATATCGCACAAGGACCGGAGTACACCCAGATACTTCCAGAAAAAACGCTACCTCACTAGTTTCTTAGTCCAGTGACCGCGAACACAGAGGCAAAACAACTACACGGCCATCACATATCCAAAACGTTGTTGTACAACTACCAGGCGAGCGGTCTCAACCCTCATCTCTTCAGCCAGATCGGTACGAAGGACGCCAAGGAATGCTCCGACCGGGGCTCCTGCAATCGCCAAACGGGCCACTGTATGTGCTACTCAAAGTTCAGCAGCTCCGATGGGATGGGTGGCGAGGGGGATATGGGAGACTGCGGATACTACGACTCGTACGACCCCCCCACAAACTGCACCACAGCCACGCCGATGTGGGGTTCCACTTCGGCGCTCTGCAGCGGTGAGCCAATTAGAAGAAAAACTGTAACAGTGTCAACATGTTCTGCTCTTCCCAACATCTATCCTATCCTTCAGTACGAAGTAGCACATTGAAGACGAAGTTGAGCATTGCGGGCGTGGTATCTCGCACGCTCCGCTAACGCCGCTCGGCTGTTGACTCATATACGTATGTAATGGTAGCCCTGCCCTGCCCCCAGATCCTTGGTCTTCGACCCCAACAAGCGTGCTCGGATGGGTGACGTAGTCGTTTGGTATATATAAAACTGTGGGGCTGTCGAGAATGTTACCAGAGGGCATGAATTAATGCCACTTTTTGCTATAACCGCGGACCCGACCGGGAAAAAAACTTGAATTCGTTGCACTCCCTTTAATACGAACAATGAAGCACCCACCATCATCTTCTTCGCTTTGCCATGCTCGCCTTCGGTACGAAGCCGCGCACGCGCTCTCTGTGTGATTATTATTACTCTGCTACCTTGCAACCACCTCATCCTGGCAGGGGTCGGGAATTGCGACCAGGAGACGTGGCGCTGCAACTGCACTGAGAGCTACACGGGCGGTGCTTGCGAGCTACGCGTAAGCGAGCGCGAACATGATCGCTAAACCATAAATAGTGCATTGTATGAACATGCACCGTATCCTGCGCCGACACGTCTGGGCTGTACGCACCGTATCCTTTTATTCTCGCGGCCTATGGAATGGAGTTGTCGACTACTGTTGTCACCCCCACCTCAAGTCATCTGTGTCACAGGCAAATCGATAGCGACTTACATTGGAATATATAGTATCTACACTCGCAGCAAGAGGAGCGTATTTCACTATAAAACGCAAGCGAGACTGCTCCTCTTCATCCGCTTGCCTTTTTCCACTTCTCTCCATATATTCGTCCTAACGCAAACTCTCGCCATTCGAGACCGACTGGTCCATGCGGTGTCACTGGCCCGAAACGACCAGCCCCCCAATCATATCACAAAAACACAGGACTGCGACAGCGGTGTGGCGTGGTTCGAGGAAGCCGCGTGGAACGTGAGCTCTGGGGCCGAGGGTGGTCGGACGGGGCTGTCCGTCCAGTGCTCCGCGGGCGGGGTCTGCGACGAGTCTACGGGGATCTGCTCTTGCCGTAGCGGCATGTTTGCCGGGGATGCGTGCGAGGTCATGGACTGCCCGACGTGCAACGACGTGGGGACTTGCAAAGACATGGAGTACTTCGCAGCGGTGAGGAAACTATGTGCGGTTCCGCGCACCGTCTGTCCCGCAGGTGGGTCAGTCGAACTCGTGGTTCACCTCGTAGTAAATGTTCTCGCTTCTTGACTTGGAACATCTAAACAGTCAACAGTACAGACACTTTTCCTCAACCAGCGAAGCAGTAAGAGTCATACCTTTCGGCCTGCCGCCACCACTACTACCATACCTCTCTGTTTCTTCTTGCAAGACAACAAAGTCGTCGATCACGACCATGACTACATTTTGTCGTTCTTGCAGACGATCATCAGCAACGGGGAGGCGCAGGAAGGGTATACGTATGATCTTTGGGATGCCAACAAGATGCGCTCGTGCTGGTGTAACCGATCCATGACCGTCGACAACATGTTCTCCGGAATCTCGACCACCCACCGCGGCCCGTACGCCCTCGCGGACACGGATTCCCACGGCTACGACTGCAGCCTTGGAAGGTCAGACAAGCAGCTTCCGGGGCCATCAAATTCCCGGCTTGCCCGTTCAGGCTTTGCTGGCTTTGCCCCGTCTTTGCAGGGAGTGGAATTTGTACTGGGGAGCATCGCCTACGACTGCTCACATTCATCACCACCCACTATAGGAGCACCCCCCCCCCCCTGCCGCTATGAAACGTTGTTTGATATAGCAGGTGTCCTACCGGTGACCACTATCACACCCCCGGCGTGACGGACATTCAGAGGGTCAACTGCACCGCGGGGTTGGGAGTGTTCACGCTCAGCTTCCGGGGCGAGACGACGGTGGAGCTGGACTACTTCATCAGTGCCGCAGGCCTGGAGGCTGCGCTGGAAGCGACTCCGTGGTGCGCTCTCCATCAGCTAGTCTAATCCTCTTCATTTTTTTATCTGCATAGATATGCGTGCTTGGACGCCGAAATACCTGCACCTTAAATAACCGGAATCCAAGTGATACTCCCGTCCTCGAATTTGGTGCGTCAGGAGTGCATCTTTCGGACGGAGGACACGCCATGTGGAGTTGTTAACCACCCTTTTTCCCGTCTCCACTAATGTCTCCTTTGGCAGGATTCTTGACGTCAACGTTACCTACACGAGCGGGACAACTTCAGCGTGCAACGACACAGAGTGTGAGAGAAGTCACGCAATCACACACTAGATTGAACTATCACGCGTTCTTGGTTGATACATCCCTCGGTTTTGAGCACCCATCCACCGTTTCGGCTCCGGTTCTACTGTTCTACTGTGTGTACTATTCATTTTGTTTTTCACTTGAGGTCAGCACGTAGTTGTGACGTTTTGGGCCTGGCTTGTGCCGAAGGAGCAGATAGGCAATGAACCAGACGGCTCTTCCGGGCCAACACCAGCGCACGAGCAGTAGTCTAGAGTTCACATCCACGAACTCGTACTCCATTCAGGACTCGTATTTCATTCAGGACCCACGCTGGTTCCCGCCAAGGAACGGGCTTTGGTAGTCTTCCGTCGTATTTTGTGGCATCAATTGTGTTGGTGCCCCGATGTGGACACACGACGTAACCCCGGAAGGAGTTAAGGAGGAGGAGGTAGAAGCCTGCACTCGTGGAGATCTTTCTTGAAAGTCAGGCCGCATACCTGATAATTCGGTTGAATTTATGGCACATACATGCAACCTAGCCGCGTCGTGCCTTCTCGGGTGGAGTGGGGTTCGGCCATACACAGCAAGTCGGCGTGATCGTATTGATTAGGAAGGGGGGAATCGACCAAGGAAATCCCGGAGCAACATGGCGGGGTAGTTGCCGATGTTGTTGAGTATTGTTCGTCTCATCATATTGTAGCCTCTCTCCTTGTCTTTGCCCCCTTTCGTTCATCATCAGACATCGACATCGAGTTCCTCACGGAAAACGGAGACCTTCCCCTCATCAAGTCCAGCACGGACTTCCTTCTCCGGACTGTGAGTCGCGATTCGGTGCTTTAACAACAACATCTTCGTACCAGACACACGTACTGTAGGTAACTCAGAGACGACCGGAGAGCGTACGGTGCGGTGCACGAATTTAGAAACCGCGTACCAGCGCGAAAAGTCGATCCTTCCTCGCCCCGACCCAGCAACGACACATTGATCATCCCGCAACACCGATCATCTACGCAATAGCCGGGCGAACCCGAGGCCAACCGTTGATCATTCCCATACTAGCGCTCGGAAGGAGTTGTTTATTTGCCTGTTTCCCCCTGCTCCACACGAATTTGGTCACTCATCCCCTCCCCTACGACCGCGATGTGCTTCAAGGACGGCACCACTCCGGGTTTGGTGACGGTGGAAAAGGTCCAGACGGGCACTCGAGAGGACGTCGAGTGCGGGGCTCACGGTATCTGCGTGGAGGAGGAAGGGGTTTGCGACTGTTTCGTTGGCTACCAGAGCGGTGACGGCACCGGGAGCAGCGGGGAGAGGGGGGACTGCAGCTGGAGGAACAAGTACCAGACGGCGCTCTTCACCGGGAGCGGAGTCGCATATGACTACAACTAACCTCGCAAGGGATTTGCTTTCGTTGTCTTCTAGGAATGTTGCGTTTACTCGATTTCGTATCTTGGTTGCCCATTAGGACTTTCTGTTCAGGGTTCACAATAAAGATGTTTTCAAATAACCCAGGCAGGGTCGATCACACCGTCCAGTGTCGACGTCTTCTTGTTTTTACGCATCATAACGATCGCTGCGGCTGAATGAGGGAGGGAGGGGGCGCTGTGCCACCATGTGCGCGTGGTCAGCTACGTCGGACAGGCTCCCCGTTTTCCGCAACGACGTTGGCCCTCTTTGTCGATTCCGCGACATTTCATGGAGAGACTACATCGTCTCGTTTTGATACTTTTCTGTGTAGTTGGGGTTTACCGGCCTCCCCTGTTGCGCCCAAAGAAAAAACGAGCCAATATTGACACCGGATACATAGCGAGTCACCTATAGCAAGAAGGGCGACTGATCGCTCGCTCGCATCTCACCCCAGCAACAAGGACAACAGAACAAGCATGGCGACCCCAACTATAACGTCGGTCGGTCCAACCGGAGTTAGATTATTTTGTCATGTCCATACGCATCGTAGTTATTGCAACTACAACTCGAGGAAAGACTGATGTGAGTCGTACGACATAATGAAGGAAGCGATTCACTGCGTTACGCAACCGCCGCCCAGTCGGCGGGAGATTCTCGCATCGCCGCCGCTAATCCAAGCTCCAGCTCAAACGCTTCAAGATCATCCTCTAAAGGCGCCACGCCTATGGGCAGCCGCACAGGATTAGAGCGATACCCGGACCGCCGGCATTCCTGGAGACAACGATTGAGGCGGGAGGAGCGACATTATGGTAATGAATAAAAGTCGACAGTTTGGGGGGCGGGCGAGGCACACGGTGAAGTAAAGTTGCGTTTTCAAAACCTAAGTGAGGGAGAAGGGGGCACCCATCATCATATAGGGTTGTGCGTCTCATACAAAGTCCTCTCCTCGTGCCTACGTCCTGCGTAGCGATTGGGCTCATTGTTTACACCCTGTTACGCAACAATCAACTGGACTGCCCAGCGTCACAGACAGGCGATATGGCGAGTCTTCTTTGAAACGAATCAACGTTATCCATTAGTGTCTTCTTCACCTGGTCGTGGCAGTGCTGACGAACCTCGCCTCGTGATAAGTCCGTCACCAAGAACACATGGTTCGATTTGTGGGCCCTCCCGATATTCCAGCACCAACGGTTGTTGGCAACCTGCACACAAGACAGGAATATCAAACAATGATTCGAGGCAAGTACGTACAAATTGCTCCAGGTCTTACTATTGTATGCAATCAGGACATATCGCACGGGGTTGACCAAATACAGACACGTAGGATGTCGGAGGAGGTGCAACACCCCTGACAACATCAAACGATGGACCCCCCTCATCTGATCCCCCCCCTCTGGACGGACGCTCGCGAACTATTACATGGTATGTACCTGGTGGGTGAGCTTGCGTACGACGGTAGCCGGGGGTTGTGGTGCGCTTTGGCTCCCGGGGCTTACCAACCCAGTGCCACCCGCATTGCCACTCCCGTTGCCGTTGCCGTTGCCTTCCTGATGGTCGTGCTCGACGGTGCGTGGCGGAACTTGACCTGCCGTGTAGCTCCACTGTCGGAGTTCACCTCTCGTGCCTCCTTGGCCGACCAGAGTCCTGGCGTGCCATGTGTGTCCGAGGGCGGGCGGGCGGTCGGGCGGGCGGGCGGGCGGGCGGGCGGGCGGGTGGGTGGGTGGGGAGATTGTTTCTTTCTCCTTGCCCTGGCCCCTGCCGAGATCAGGCCGTCGACCACTCATCGTAGTCGAGGGGGAGAGCCGTTCTTGATCCCGGAACAGCCTGTTCCAATGGTGGGCATTTCAGAGCATAAATGGATTCGCTCTCAACAGCACCAACAGCAAACAGGGTGTAATCTCGTTGTTTGTTGCTGCTTGCCTAGCGCTTCTAGAAAGCAAAATTTGGTAACGAGAAGAGCCGCTCCTGCGTGCCACACACTCGACGTGAAAGAAGGGAGACACGTGTCGAGTACGAATCCACAACAACACCCCACCCAGACTCAACGTTCTGCGAGCCTGTGAGAAGTTTTTTGGTGTAGCCCAAGACCAACACCTTTCGGTTTATCCCTTGGTATCATGGGGCCATCTTCCCATGAGCGTAAAATACGCCGGGAAAACAATAGTCTTACCACGCCGACGGCCGAATCTGTGTCGCCGATTTGGCCGAAGTGCAGCGACCACAAGGAACCCGAAAAGAGAAGTGGGGATCGTGCGCGAGCACAAGTTCTTACTGCACGCAAGCAGCACGAAAACAACCCTCAAAGCGATCAACGCACCGCGAGCACGGCAGAAACGAGCTGAATGGGAGAAAAGAAGATCAAGCACGAACAAACACGGCAGACTCACCGCAGGAAGGAATCGACCGCGGGAAACGGCGACGGCCCGAACCCCTGGCTCGACACCCTCCATCCGTCGCCATCGCTGCTACCGCTGCCGTGGTCTTGCGAACTGCCGCGGTGCTCACCTCTTTCGGCAGATATCGTGCCGTTAGTTGACCACCCGTGTTGCTGCCGCTGTTGCGAGGAAGAGCAATCGCCTGTTTGCTTCCTGCAGCTACCGAACCTAGAATAGCGGTGCTGGCCTGTCCCACCGCCGACGGTCAGAAAGAGTTCCGCTGGGGAACTCCGTGGGGTGACCGGCACGACGAGGGAGTCGTGCTGTACGGCGGAATGCCAAGGGCGGGCGAGGGTTGGCGGGCAATTGAGTGAGCACAGGGGAGGAAAGTGATGGCTAACAATGAAAATCGGACGCGACGGATTGGGACTAACGATAACATTCAGACCGGGAGTGGCAAAATTTGGACGCCAAAGCATGGAAGCCCCTGAACGACATGAAAAACAAGTCGTGACTGACGTGGGAGGGAGGTTAATCGGTTTATCGCCTACCGTATACGACACAAGATAACACACACCCTTGACCGATTTTCAAAGCTCGATTACGCCACGACGAAGAGCATGCATAAACGAAACGAAACGTTTTCGGAAAGCTCTCGACGAGACAGCTTCAACGCCGCCGTCTTCGGCGCTGTGACTCTTTCTGCTGATGAGAAATCGAGTTTTTGAAAATCCGTCCTGGGGGTGTGTTATCTTGTGTCGTATGCGGTACATAAACCAAGCTAACAACCGCCGAGCGTTCAATTTTCGACGGGCTCGTAGGTCTTTAGCGAAGGACGAGAGGTATATGAGCGCAAGCAATCCGATCATCGCCTATCGCCTCTCGTGGAAAAGAAAGAAGACGATGTTCGGAAGGGCACAAGGTCCGAGGGACCTCACCAACAGCGTTCGCGCCACGTCACGGAGCTGCTGCTTCTGTTCTCGCGGCGACAACAACGACGACGACGACGTGCGAGCGAACGTTCCTCCCCCCCTCCCTCTCCAGACCATGTGGTCGAGGGTCCGCTTGTTCGTTGCCGCCACCCGAAGACAAGCAGCTTTGCCGAACTTGCTCGAACCCAGCAGGCGGAAGCATCGGTTCCTACGTGGAGGTGGCGGCGGCGGCGGTGTGTTCGTGGTGTGTTCGGGTTTTATCGATTAGTTCGTATGTTGTTGTTGTTGTTGTCCACCGCACCCGAGACAGGATCCAATATTGTTGAGGAAGGGGGCAGGGGGCAGCAGGATAAAGACAGGCAAGGGAAGGAGAAGATACGAGGTCGGTCGGTCGGTCGATTGTTCGGCCTCGTCTTGCCGGCGGGAAAGCGTGAGGCACGGAAGGATCGTGCATCCTTCTCAAAGGCTGCCCGCAGGCCACGTACGTACGTGCCAGATATTGAGTCAGTCTGATCTCGAAAAGGACGATCACCTGTCCAGTTCAAGTCTAAGTCCCCGTTCCCACGCACCCCTGTTTCCCACCCGAAAAAGCACACAAAAATCTTTGCGCACCTGGTGTAAACGCTGACGTCGGCGAAGAGCACCCTCCGACCGTCGCCGTCCTTCACCCACAGTCTCTCCAGCGCCCCAGCACCGCCCCCGCCCCCGCCGCCGCCGTTCGTCTTGTCGTCGTTGGAGCAATCCGCCTTGGCCGTTGTTGGTGCCGTGGCAGTGGTTGGCGTTGAACCCGTCGACGAATCGCCATCACCATCTCTTGGAGCTGTAGCCACCGTAGGAACGGGTACCGCAGAGGTCGGGAAGTCATCGGACGAAGGCGTCCCGCCCAAGTGATCCCCACCTCCGGCGTTCCCGCCGCCGCTTCTGATGACGCAGTGAGGGACAGCGACGGCGGCGGCGGCGGTCGCGGTCGGCACAATATCGTCGCGGCCGATGCCCGGCGGTGTCGCCGGGGTCGACGGAGACTGAGGAGCCCGCCAAGACTCTAGTTCGGCGGCGAGACTGTTGACGAACCTTCCGACGTGAGAGTTATCCAGGAAGAGCTGTGCGCATCGTAGCATAGAGGGCCCAGGACAAGCGAGCAGGGGAGACGCGAAAGGGTACGGTAGTTGGTCATCGGGGATTTTCATTGTACGGGCGGGCGCAAGCGCACGCAGGTTTGTATTTTACGGCCATCTTCTCATGGCGCCCTCTGTTGGTAACGGTTGGCCGGAAACAACGCGATTCCAAACAATCGTGCTACCCATTAACTTGCTTCGTTCAGTAGCAGAGAACTTGTACCCTTCTCTCCCGTGGATACCGCTGCGAGGATGGGGGGCGGAAACAATCCGGGGTTGCTATACATAGTAGTCGCTATCGGTTGACTCTATTCCCTTTCCGGTTTGTAGCTTTCTTCGCACTGCCCGAGCCCCTCCGTGGCCCCTCCACCGAATTGTTGGGGTGTTCCATCTATCCCACATCTGATATGCGCTCATTGCTCTTTCGACTTCTTATGGACTCCTTCGCACGGACGTACTGTGAGTGCAACCACACGAAGAGCTCAACGAACAGCCTGAAACGCCTTCGCATTCGGTGGCGGCTACTGCTGCTGCTGCTGCTGCTGCTGCTGGGTGGTGACAACAACGCGACAAAAACAAAAACTCTAACGAAGAAGAGCAGAGACCAACACTAGCGACCACGCCGATGACAACGAACCTGATCTCCGGGCAAGTGAAAAATCAAGTGCCGGCTGAACTTTTTCGGCGTAGAAGAGTCTAGATCCAACACGTTGGAGGTGCCGACGCTGACGCCGAATTCCTGGTGGAGTTTTCCTGTTTGAGCGAAGAAGGTGGTTTAGGGTATCGGAGACTGGGGGTCTGCATGAAGGCATTCCGATATTGGGTCAAACGGCGCGGGTGGGCGATCGGGTTGCGGGTGAACAGCAGTTGTGTAGGATTCCTGGGCTGTGAACTGCGTGGTTGTGAAATCGTCATCAATAAAGACGTTTCCCCGATATTTTGGCGCGGCGGGGTTGGCACAAGGGGGGTGGGCAATGGCGTAGGTCGTGCGTCGTTGAGAATGCAGAACTTTCAACAACAAGCTTATCTCGCCACGAACCTGTTTCGCCGAATATGTGTAGGACACGAGCAATGTCTGTTGGACCTGAAAAAAGAAAAAAAGAAAGCCGCTGTACTTACCCATATCGTAACCGGGTACTTTTAGTCATTGCTCTGTATGGCAACCCACGCACAGAGCAGGAAAAAACTCACCGGCAACGACGTTGATCCAAGCACAGACGAGCTCCTCCCCGTCCAGGCCGGGATTAGGGCCGCGGGCGAACTCCAGGTCGAAGTACATGCGGCAAGGGCGGCCTTCCCGTATGATCTCGTACATATGCCGAAGAGGCGAAGGCCGAGGAGGGGGCGAGGACGGGCACGGGCAGGGAGGGTGGCTCGGTTTCTCACAAACCGGGCCGACGGACGATACTCCAGAACCATCCGGGCGGGGCGCTGGAAACGCCGCTGGTTGTGGTGGCTCCAAGGGTTCCAGGCTCATGGGAGACGGCGTCGTCGTTGTCGCCGGAGAGCGGACGCTGTCACCGGTATTTCTTCCATCGCCTGGGTTACTGTCGCACTCGCCACGGTTGCTGCTGTCTTCTGCGATGGCAGGACTAGAGGGTACGTGCGGCGGTGTTGACTGTGGCGGCGGCGGCGGCAGCGGCGATGATGGTGACCCCGGCTGGCGGTGGTGTGTCGGGTCTGGCAGGTGGAGGTGGCGCAAGAGAGAAGGGTCGGGCAAGGCCGTGTAGGGGTAGCGCTCCTCGAAGCGCCGGATGTCGCACACGACAAACTTTCTGGTGGGAAGGAAATTGGGGGAGGGGCGGGTGGCAAATAAGTGAAGTTGCAGACAGGGGAGGGCGGTTGGAGAAAGAGAGCGGGGGGTGCAAGGGAGGGCGTGAATGCAGCTAGACCAACACGTGCAACTCACGCTTCGAGGGTCAAGCATCGCGAGAAGCACAGGCAGCATTGGGAAAAAAATACACGGGAGACAACGGCGAAGAAGTACATTCGGAGACAGGGAGAGGAAGCCTGATGGTGCGATTGAAACCATCAAACGCGGCGATCAGGCGATGGACATGTATTGGGCATGCCTGCTGTCGTACCTGCTGCCGGTTGCACTCGTCTCGAAGGACAATACCCTGTAACGAGCGGCATCCTCGGCGGCAAGCCTCGCTGCAAGCGCGTCGACGTACGTGAACGCGTGATCTTGTCTGCGGAAAACCCTGTCATGTATGTGAAGGTGAACGTGCGTCCACATGGGGAGGGCCGTGTAGGTGAGCGGAACCTTGTTCCGGCCGGAGCGAAGCGTTCACACGTTCAAACAATCGAGACCGAATGTATTACCCTCCTAGGTGGAGCATCGATCATTTGCTGCCGCCTCCGGCATGACCGGTCTGGAAATCGCAGCAACAGAAGCACGTGCTGGCGCAGCACCTGCTTCCCACCTCAAACTAAAAAGAGATAAGGAAAATCGGAAGGCCCCAAAAGTCCAACACTAAACACAAGTTCGACTCACCGTATCCCCGGGGACATCACTTCTCCTCCACAGCCACCCCGCCCGCCTTTTGAAGAACCCGCGCGTCCCCCGCGGCCGTGCTCAGCAGCTTCCGCGGCGGTTTGTTCTGCGGCCCCATGCTCCACGGAGTCTCTGTAGCGCTCGTGCAACGCCTGGCGCAGAGCCAGCCACGAGGATTCCCCTTTCGACCTGCTGCCGCGAAATACTCCCGCTGCTGTGTGAAGGCTTCGCGGTTGCGGCGGTGGGAGCGCCTTGTTTCTTTTCCCGGAAAGACTCTCGTTGGAAGGGTGCGCAAGACTTTCCACCGGCAACAGCCGCTTTCTCGGGTGTTCTCCAACTTCAGGCTGCTGTTGATCCTCCCCAACACCGGCACAAACACCAACACCAACACCAATGTCATGAACAGCAGCACGAGCACGCCGGACGCTGGAGCCACGCGAAGAAGCGGCTGGTGAGATTGCCGCACCGCTTGTGGGAGCCTCCCGGTCGTTGTCGTCGTCGTCGTGGAGACGAAGTACGACAACCCTCCCGTTTCGGTTTCGCGCTCCGTCCCGGACTTTCGGCCTCCTCCGTCCGGCGGCTGCACGTCGACGATTCGGAGGCGATGCCACCAGCGGCCTTTTTTCGATTATGGGTTTGGGTGTATTTGGTTGTGTCAGTTCGACTGTTTTGAGCAGGAGGGAGGCTTGGGCGTGGCAAGTAAAGTCAGTCGCGGAGCTAGAGAGCCGGGTACTACTGGCGGGCGCGTGGTACAAGAGATTTATCAGTGGGTGCTGTGATGTAGGGTACAGCAGCGGGATGTTGGGCGTTCAGAGAAGGAGGGTGACAAGCCGAGAGCTATGAACTCGATGTTCATACGCCGAAATGCTGGCTAAGCTCAAAACCTCGAATGATCGGTGACCCAGAGCCGTCACCATGATAGGCGCTGCCCACAGGAAAAGCGGAACCAAGCCGGGAATCGGGAGATAAGGCAAGATGGATCAGTGCACGGCCCCGATGATAATTTCGGAAGCATCCAAGAAGCAAAGCACATGTTATGCACTACCCGCCTCTGCATGTAACCTTCCCTCTATCGTTTCGTCCTCACCTTCGCCATTCTCCGTCCGGAACAGCCGCCCTCTCTTCCTTATTCGGTTCCGCGACTCTCCTGACCTTCTTACGCTCAACGCTGTCACCATAGTCGCGGGCACCGCCATCTCTGGCAGCATCATTATCAAATTCGTGCCATCTCTCTGCTGCTTTCGTCGAGCGCGTGCTTGCATTTGTGACTGCTGCATGCGTCTCTCCATAAGCCTTCTCCCCTCCTGACGAGAGGCCCGCCGCCGCCGCTGCCACTTCTTCCTCCGCGTCCTCACCCTTCCTGCCGCTGCTCAACACTTGCCCTCGATCCAACGCGACGGTAGAGTCACCGCATTCGTGTCGTTGGTTGTTGTCCGTGGACGACGCGACTCTGGGCGTTCGGTCTACCGTTGTCAGAAGCATGCCGCCGACATCCTTTCCGCTCGTCAACGCCGACGGCCGAGCGATGGGAAACTCAACGGTACCAAACATGTCCCTGTTCTCGCTGCAAGAGGCGGTAGGCAGTGGGGAAGAAGAAACGTAAGCGTCCTGGCTGAAGTCGTAAACTAATCTTGCTAGGACTGGGTCGGGCACTCCAGCCCTTAGCAGCGTTTCACTTTCGCTCTCGTCGCGGTCGTGGTCACGGTTGTCCTTGTCTTGAGGAGGTGCAGATAAAGGGCGCGAAGAGGGCGTTGCAAACTCCGTCGGCGCGAGCCGTCTCCTCTCCGGTGTCGCGATTGGCAGTGACAGCTGCGTCGGCGGCAGCTGTGGTTTCCATGGCAAACCTGTCTCTACAGCTGCAGCAACAACAGCGGTATCGCGGCCGTCGCTGACGGTTGAAACGGTGCTGTCGGTGCCGCGCCCAACGCTTCTACTGCGGTAGAAGCTTTCCCCCGGATCAACCCTAGGAGGGAGCTTGTGGTTTTCTCCAAGCAGCTTGAGACCGCTCATGATAATCGAGCATCCGATACCCAACCCTAGTAGCAGCAGAAAGGGTGGCGATGGCTGTTCCCGCGTCACCGGAATGGGTTCCAACGGAGACAAAGAGCCGCCGTCCGTCGAAAAATGAGTCCTGGCGCAGGGTTTGAGTCCACGGTGTCAGTGTATGTAAGGCTGATACTTTCCGATGATTGACACGAGGGGTCAGTGCAGGCGAGGCTGAGATATTTTCGTATGCTTGGCACGAGGAAACAGATGGCTCCTCCATGGGCAGAAGTGCGAGAATTCGCATCGTCACAACAGGTTGGTGTTGTGAGAGCAATGCCTGTACGAATATTGTAAGGCGAACCGAACCACAGGCGAAGCTCACATCGCGTGTCGAGGTATGTCCATCGCGCTGCCACCTCCTCCGTCTGCCGTCACTACCACGTTCTCCACCTGGATCGCCCCACTGGGTGAAACTTGTCGGCAATGAACCTCTAGTTCCCCCTTTATCATTGAGGGAAACGGCCGAAGATGACACACAAACCGTCACGTAAACATCAAATTTCAGGGCGAGGGGGGGAACCAGAATGGTTGGTTCACGCGCCTGAATCCTACGGCAATACTGACTTTGAGACATTGCGTGATCTTTCGGGCACAACTTTCATCTGATATGCATGTCTTGTCTTTGATTTAATCGCACATTTTGCATGCACTGCTATCTTCGTCTCTGTCGGGCATCATGATAATATGACAATATAAGAGTCTATAACTGGACCTTTACTCTAGACCTCAGCACTGCTACAATACTGCACATGTTCTACATGTATGTTACAGTCGTAGCCTATTGTAACAATGTGCGGCGGCAGCAATCGGGTCGGATTCTTCGACCATAGCATGCGACTGGACACGCTAACCACATCGTAAGCTACACGAGAACGAACTTAAATAGAAAGAACAGGCATGCAGCAACATCTGGGGAGCGTACAGCAGTTGCCAAGGGGTCCTCACCTCTCCTATCCATTCTTCCTCGATCTTGGACCCATCACCGTGAACGGAGATGGAGGCGACCTTCCACCGATATCGTAGCATCCCCTGAACGTTGGAGCCATCCTTGTGGCGAGTCTCCTGTTTCGACCTTTGCTGAGGCGGGGTCATCGTTGGTGATAGGTTCTCTGCAACGGTGCTAGTATTACTGCGGGTGCTCTGTCCCTGCTGCTCGAGGACAGCAGCGGCCTCTGCTGCATCAACCTCTCGCCAAAACGCATCATCGAACTCTTCTTGTTCCAATGCCGCTGTTGATGCCATGTGGTCCTCGCGCTTGACGTCCACGTCTACCCAGGGGAAAAACAACACCAGCAAAGATTACACTCGTAGTCCCCGAGAGGGAGGGGGGGGACCTAGCTGAGGACGCCGCTTGTGCCCAAGGAAGCACAACACAGCACCCGAGAGCACGAGAGGTTTGAAATTCAAATCGTGAGGCATCCACGGAGCCCCCCGTGATGCGGCGAGTTTTGTGCGTTTGTGCGGTTTCGTCGTTTCGTGAGCGGTGAGAGCGGCGGCTTTTCGCATGCCGCTTCGTCTTCCCCGCGGAACGCTTCACACAAGTACCCCCGTCTCTCTCGAATAATACGTGTGTGAACCTTCACATTGCATTCTCTGAAGAACTTACTCTTGAGAGGGAAGACACCAATGCTCTTGTATGTCGTCAATAGCCTACTGTAGTCTACGTATTTTGGAGCTAAAGCTGAGCAACGCTGGGTGATATTGCGTGTCTCGGGTGATGAGCAAAGAAGTTGACGACGTGTTCACACATTGCCAGTGTCCGAGAGCACAGAGAGGAGCACCGCGTTTTGGCGAGACGAACATCACATAAAAAATGAACCAGAGGGCGATCAGCGACAGTATCTTGCAGCTCCAGGCAAAAGGAGATGTCTTCATGAGACAGGTCATCATCGAACAGAGGAGGGTGGACGATATTGACGGGGTGAGCTCTTTGATGCCCTATGATTTGACATGCAGTCGTGACACGATACAGCGAGGAACGATCGTCCGCACGGCTGTGGGTGTAGAAATGCCCCCGTCGATTGAACTGTGACATACACGCTGCGTATGCGGCTGTTCTCAGAAGCATGCCAGTACAGTAGGAAAAAGGCAGCTGCACGTCAATGAGCAGGGATAACAAGTTCCTACACGGTCATCTTGATGAAGGCCTGCTCTCTGATATCATGGTGAAGGCCTGCTCTACAGTACCAAACAGGTAGTTGAGTTTACAGCAACCACTGGTGTGCTCCTCTGCGCTCGACAAGAAATGACAACTCTGCCCTTCCATACGCCGCCAAGGTACATATTGTTGTTGCGTTTTTCCTGTTTTTGGTTGTGTCAGGCGTTGCGACAAGCGAGGAACGAGATAGATGCGTTTCGACTCCGAACAAAGACGGGAGCAATCGATGTTCTCAACCTTCACAGGTATGATCCGAGAGCAACCGTAGCGCGGGCTACTTCCTCCCTTTATTGCTGCAAACCCTTTCGGCAAGTATTGCCGCTCCGTACAGTATGCGAATATCAAAGGTGTGCTGCACCTCAAGCTTGCCGAATACATGGCGTTGAAACACACTGTAGTTTCGTAGTTTCGAACGCGCCAAACTCAATACAAATTTAGCACAAATATGAGGGACAAGAATGGGCCTGACGACAACCACTGTCGAGGCCAAGAACTAATAAAGAGTGTACGAACGCCATCAGCAATGACATGCACGGGAACTAGATAGCTCTGAAAATACACAATTATGTTGTTCTTTCTCACCGTGTAAAATAGTTCTTCAGTGAGCACGCCAACAATGGTGAGCACGCCAACAACAAATATCTCTTAGTTAAAAAAACGAAAGAGCTGATTGTAACAAATCACACTTGTTGTGGCAGGACGACCCCAAACCCAGCACACCAGCGAGCCGACGGACTCGACCCAACGAAGCAGGCGGATCAAAACCAGAAAAAGCTTGTGTCAAACCTCGAGGCACGGCTCAACAAGGCGAGTGAAGTTCTGTAGTGCCAGCTGCAAGCCAACAGAGAGGGGCGGTTTGTGTTAAATGTCAAGTTCTACGGTGGTGAAAGCCCTGGGTCGCACGCGACTTTCATCCCATTCTTCTCCTTAATTCGTCGTCCAGTCACTTCACAAACATGGCTTGAGAATCCTGCTCCTTACTCTCCTCACTGAACACACTTCTCACTCCCCGGTGACCCCCTCCTTCAACCCTCAAACGACAAAACAACACGAACGTCACGGAATTGGCAATTGCAGCTGCTGATGCGGCATAGCGAAATCATGAACGGGAACGCCCGTTTGAAGGAGGAAATCAACCACCTCCGCAAGGAGCGCACCACCGCCAACGAGGTCCACGCCCAGTTCGAGGCCAGCATCCATCAAATACGGGGGGAGATCTCGAGCCTCATGGCGCAAGCGTCCGCTATCAATGACCATCGGGAGGAGCTCATCAAGACCAAAGAGGTGATGGAGGACCGAGGCGCGTAGCCGAGAAGCAAGCTTCGGGTTCTGACTAGTCGTCTTTTCTTCGTGAGTGTTTCGTTCGCCTCTTCTCCGTCCCCTCCGTGGACTAGATCAGAGTTTGAAGCCGCCGGCATCTCATTTGTACGATAGAACAGAGCGTGCGCACCCCCGCACGTTCGGATGTATACGATTGCGCCTAAAGTCAGTAGAACGTGACGTTTCCTGGTGGCAGGAGCGCCTCGCGGAAGTGTTGAAGGAGGAGCGCGTCGAGCCATTTCGCATGATCCCGAAAACACGTCATGTTTGTCCGTCGCAAGATTGTTTTGGTCAACTAAGGCAGTGGTACAGAGAGAGCGAGTTGTTGCTAATTGTCTAACCCACCGCAGGAAGCACTCCCTGTAATATCCAGCCACAATACTCCGCAGCTCGCCGCCTCCTTTGTGATGTGCGTGCCAATCCTACCATAGCTGTTCACCTTGGTTCAGCTTCATCAGTTTCTCCCCGATTTGATATCCTCTACGCCTTGCGCAGGCTCAACGTATTGCTCCCCTTGTTCCCTCAAACCTTTTCGACTTATCGATCAATTGGAAAAACCCACCAGGACATCTTAGCCCAGAATCGAGAGGCGAAGAAGCGATTCGACACGAGAATGGACGAGCTGTCCGAATTCGTGGAGCTACAGGTATTGGTGTGTGTGTACCAAAATGTAGCAGATGCAGGTTTCCGGAGCATCACCATCGCGTATTTCTGTGCGGTGCTTGCCGTTGCTATCCATAGGACCGTCAAGTCTCAGACAGCCTCTATCATGTCAACAACGAACAATCCCCATCCTCCTCCGCTCAGTTTGCCGCGAGGTACATCGTGTCTTCCTTTGTTCTACACCACAGCATGCTGGCAATCGGTAGCACGATACTCACGCCACAAGATGGCCAATCGTCAAATGGCTGTGGGAAAAAAAGACCCCCAATTCCCTCCCACAATCCAGACAATATGTACCGACGCAAATTCTGTCTCATCGTACCCCTTTTCATCTCGCCCCATCAGAACGAGCGGTTTGAGGAGAGCGTGGAAAGGGCGGCGAGGGAGGGCAAAGACATGAACAACACTCTGTCGATTGTGGAGAAGGCCGGAAACCTCACCATTGCCGAGGAGGAAGTGCTGCGGTCCAGGGTGGAGGACATGGAGGAAGCTCTTGAGAAAGAACAAGCCAATGATAGAGCCATCGAGGATAAGATTAAGGTGGGCGCCACTATGCCGGTGTAATACAGCGTTCGTTTCACATAGGGTTTCCGTTAATGCTGCTTCCGCGCGTGAGAACTTGTTGTTTTTCTCATCCATGCACAGAGTGGCTCCATTTCAACACCTTGACTGTTCTGCCGTGAACGAGCGGCAGTGGTTCCTGGTTGCCCACACACCCCTTTCAAGGATCTCCGTTGCTAGATCCAGCAAAGAGAATAAGTTCGGTTCATTCAGTTGGTCACGTGCGTTCGATCCACGCAGATCGGCTACTAACGATGTTCATGCTGATTGCGGCATACGGAAGTCGGATTGGCGACAAGCGCCCGACTGCTCAAAGTGCAGAAACGGTGTTGGTTCGTATGGTAAGCACAACCGCAAAAAACAACCAAGCAGAAAACGAAACGAAAAAAGCACAAAGTGTACCACTTTCACAAGTCAACATCGAAACCTAACGCGAAAACACAGACAACCAGACCACAAACCTGACCTGTGAGAGTACCGCATCACCGTACCATTGTAAACACACAGTGGTACGAAGAGGCGTTCGAAGAGCTCAAGACGGTGTCCAACATCGACGACCTGGACCGGCTGGTGGCGGTGTTTATCAAGCAGGAGGACGAGCATTTCTCGCTGTTCAACTACATCCAGACCGTCAACCAGGAGACGGACCAGCACCTAGAGAAGACCGAAGAGTTGGAGGTGTGTTGAAAGGAGGTTTGGGTTCGGCAACCAACCAAGAGCTTGCGTCACATGCGGCGGCGTGACCTGGTGACGTCGAGGGACTCGCACCTCAAAAGACAGCCACCCGATGCAAGCAGACGCCCTGGGGGTATACAACACTGTTAGTGAACTTATATCTTGGTACATATTTGGTCCGTGGTTGACGTTAGCTTCACAGCGGCCTCTTCCGTAAGATGTGATTTTCCAAGCGTAAATCGTAAATACGAGCAACAGGAAGCTCGCCGTTCGCCGTCCGATCGTACCGGTTGAATTTTTTCATAAATGCCTTGTTTGAGGGCTAGGGTGTGGATACCATCTATGTTACCAACCGTTTGCGCCTTCGAGGAAGGGCGATACCTGACACGATGGTATGTTTCATCTCCTCGCAATCTACGTGTTGCTCGCCTTCACCAATCACGTTCACCAACATCACTGTTGAAAACAACGCCTCAGTCATGATCACTCACGACGATCACGCAAGAACATCGTCTGCTTGTCAATGTGTCGCTCGATCGCTCGATCACGATGCAATTACCCGCGCAACCGTCCGTACTTGAAGGCGGAGATCGCCAAGTACGAGGAGGAGCAAGGGGTGGAAGAGCGGCAGCGCGTGGCGATTATTCGAGACCTGCACGAGAGGGCGGAGGCTCAGCGAGCGGCAAACGAGGCTTGGGCGGAGAAGGTCGAGGGGAGCCAATCCGTGGCCGACGGACTTGCCAAAAAGGTACGTGAACTGAAGAGAGAGACTCCAGGCCGCATCCCATGGTCCGAGTGTATTGCTATAGACGTATGCTCGTGATCACTTGTATCATGGGGGAGGGTCGTGGCCTATGCAGCATCGTTCTTCTTCTACGAGGTCTTTGGTAGGGCTATGTTCTTGTGTTTTCGCCGTGATACATATCCTTGCGGGTTGGCTAGTAGACAAAATGTAGCTTGAGTGGCATCGAGAGGCTGATGATGATTTTTAGAAGCGATCTCGAATGTGTATTAGGCGCAACCACACGTATTGTGTGCGTTGTTCTTATTGACCGCCTCGAGCATATCAGTGACATGGTCGTATCCCAACGTGCGGCACAGGAGAAAACGTGGGACGCCGACGACTTGTGTTGTAAGCAATGATCACAAACATGTGAACGTGGTGACTTCTCTGCGCCCTTACGGCTGAAAATCAATACAATAAACGGACAACATTCCCGTTCATTCGATTATTTTCTTGTTGCGTTTGGCTCTTGCGTTATCCGATCAAGTCGCCAGTGAACATTCATCACAGATCAGCGTTTCTACCCCTTCCCGAAGCACATGCACAACGACGTGTTTCCACATGTATTGCAATCCCTTTCTTCTCAACCAACAAACTCAAATGACGAACGTTCAGCACTCAGCATCGTGATATTTGTGTCTCCCGATGTCTCCTTCCCCTCCCTCTTTCGTCTCTTCCCTTTCCTAATGGATACAACCAGGCTCAGTCAATCTGCTTCAAGATCCAGTGCGACCAGTACCTGCAGACGAAGGCCAAGGACGCCACGGGGGAGCGCGCGGCCGGCCTGCAGGCCCTGGCGAGTACCCTGACCGGACAGGGCATCACGGTGTCCAACATTGTTGACTACATGAGCCTCATCGAGCAGCGTTCTATGCAGGTTAGTCGACGAGTGATTTAATCAATGAGCGCAGCCGGAGGCAGTTAGCAGGTAGAAGAAGCGGGGCAGGAGCTGGGCGAAGTCGATCGCCGCAAGCTCGAAGTTGAAGATTCGTTTGGATGGAGAAATATATCTTCCTCGAGAGACACGTTGGACCTTAAACGTTGGGAAAGAGTGGACAAAATAGGGGTAACCAAGATGAGAGAACACCCACAAACATACGGCTCCCGTCTAAGGGGTAAGAGCTGTTCCCTCGGCTTCACTGAACTACACGAGTGGCGAATCTCCAAAAAACTCAAACGCTCGATACAATATGCGTTGCACGTCCCCACCCCCGTCACAAGGGCGAAATCTTGTGTGTGTTGGTACGTTTTACTTCTTCTTACCAGGACCGTGCTAACCAGCTGGCCAATGTGCGCGTGTTTGTCCTTTCTATTCTTGCGCCAGTACAAACACCCTTTCGATGCACGCGTTTGATCGAGTATCATATCATGTTAAATCAGCACCTCGAGAAACACCCTCTCATCCGCTCTCACCCCCCCGCCCCACACACAAAATCTAAAACTTAAGGTGATTTCGAACTACACGAAGAAGCTCGCCGCCACAGACCCAGAGGCGAACCCCATCCGCGGACCCCCTCAGCCGCCGTCGTGGGAGCTCCCGGAGGGCTCGGACTTCCCGGACGTATCCGATGACGATGAGTCGGAGGGGGAGGAGGCCAACACGTACAGCAACGGAGACCGGCCGGTGTTGCTGTCAGAAACGAGAAAAGAAATGGAGAGCAGGATGGAGAAGAAGGTCAGAAAAGGGAGAGGAGCGGGGGTATTGGTGAGGTAGGACAGGGAGAGCGGGAAATAGTCCGTGTCTTGGTTTGTTTTGTGCCGGGGATTCCTCTAGGTCTACGGAGTACGTGTGCTAGCGGGGCGAGGAAGGAAAAGAGGGAGACAAGGACGGAGAGAGGAGACTGGAGCGATTTCTTGGATTTGGAACAACACGTCCGTAACACTCGCATTCATGATTTCAATCAGCACGCCTGGCAAGGGCAGGCAGGTTCTGGACGCTCGAAAATCACCGCCGATCTGGACACTACATTGTTGTTGCTGTGTTTTCGACGACTTCGAATGCGCCCACGCGCGACAAACGCACAACCCTTACAGGTTGCCGCGATGAGACGAAAGGCCGAGATCTTGCGAAGAGTACCTCAGCGGGGTGGAGGTGGCGGAAGTGGCGGAGGTGGAGGAGGTGGTGGAGGGCGTGGAATCAGCCGAGGAGCTAACCCGCTAGACTAGACTCTTCACTCCTTTGGTCGTCCGCAGAGCGAACACTTTCCGATCAACCAAACATTGTTTTGCCGTGAATATGTTGGCCAATGGCGCGAGGAAGTAGTAATGTAGTCCTCCATGCCCCCCCCTCCCGTGTGTCTAGAGCTCGACTCCACCCCTCCCCGCCCTATTTGTTCGCCAAACGATTAAGAGTCGTATCGTTTCGTTTTGACACTATCCTTGTCGTGCAAACGAAAGAAACGAGAAGTGCTCAAGTTGATTGGCATTGGCTTCGGCTGCCCTCCTCTCGTAAGGTCGTGTGTGGGTCTGTGTGTGTGGTAGGGAGTGTAAACGAATGTACGCGCGCCCGCGCGCGGTCTGGCTTCGCAGAAAAAAGACGCTTTGACGAGACTTCTGTAGCCAAACGATGTACGAGAAGATCAAAGGTTGGTCTATAAGTGTAACTCGCATCTAAAGCGAGCAAGTCGAAATACTGTCGTGCAGCCCTTCTAAAGTGGCGAAGATCACTTTCCAGACTATTTGTGCTTGTTTCTTTTGGTATGCCGGCAACCAACATCTCAGGAGTTCTTCGTCAGAAACAGCAATACGAAGAAACACAAGAGGTTTCGCGAAGAAACCTATTTGGGCAACCTGTGACGCGGATTCTGGGTGGGCGGTGGTCACCTTATGCTTGTTGCAAAATCGCTGCTTTTCGGATAGAAGCCAGTGTAATCCAGCCGATATATAAAATGATTTGTCCCGTGTCCGCTTCTGTCCGGTGCATAGCAAATCCCAGTGACTGCAAGCGGAGCTTCAATAGTCGGAGCACATCTACGCCTCTCGATTTCTCGCTGCCGTCGACAGCGGTTCTTGTGAAGGCGGCGGGTTTCTACGTGAGCTTGAGAAAAGCACTTATGTAGAGGTTGCCTGCTACTGCTGCGGCAGCAGCTCGTGTCGACGAAGTATTGTATCGTTCGGGCAGGCTTTGGTGTGTTTAGTCCACTTCAGCTGGCAAGAGTGCATGGCAAAGAGAATCATAAGAACCGTCATGCAAAAATTCGTGTGATGACCCCGAGACAGACTCTTGCCTGCCGGTCGCAAGGTATTTTCCCTAATAAAGCAGCCGCCACCTACTATTCACTCGATATAGATACGCGCTGGTGACGTACGTCTCGACGCGCAACTAAAGCAGCACACGCATTGATATACCAATTTGTACAAACCAAGTGCGGCAGAAAGAAATACAGTACTCAAGGACGTGCGGGCGGCAACCGCCTCCCAGAACATGCAGATGGCCCACCCTCCGACATGTTCGCGAGAGATGGAGACCGATGTAATCTGCTCTACCGTCGGTGGGAGTGAATAAAATCGAGAACCCTCCCCCCCTCCCACTTCCCTCTACTCCAGAGCGATGCCTGATCCACAGCCGAGCGGCTGCGGCAAGCATGTATTGTGCATCAACCCAACCCAACCCCATCTATCGTGAAAGCTGCCATCGTTTGTCGTGGCTAGTTCCTCCTGAACACACTCGCTAAACACACTCGCGAAATCGGCAACCCAATGCGGAATTCCCAAAGCGGACAGTGGCAGGCAGCTCACTCACAGGTTTTCCCGCCCGTTTCGTGCTATTCTCGTGAAAACACTTTTCTTTGTGCCTCGCGGAGGAAGCCCGAATGCCTAGCATCGTTACCTCGAACGGTCCGAAGAATCGACATGGGCTCACTCATGCTGCTCAAGTGAGAACTGTCTTTGTCGTGGCAGTCTCCCCTGACCCCCTCCCCGCATTTCACGACCCATTACATTTTGCATTTGACTGCACGACGTCGAACACCATACCGCCCGCGTGCTTGAAATTTCGTTTGTTCTTGAATACCACCCCCTTGAAACGGGTTCTTTGGGCCGCGAGAGCTCCAATTGATCGTAGTTTCCCTTTGCGCAGTCTCTTTCCTCTTCTCTCGCTGCGTCGTTTATTCTCTCCTTTCCCCTTTGCGCCCTTCTATGCTCGAACGTCACGGGCGGTTCTGCAAAAGCTTCCGGATCTGCGGTCCGTGCATGCCAATTTCACTGAGGTCTTGCTCTTGGACGTACCTTTTAAGGTCCATTGCGGTCATCACCGGGCAGGCATATCCGCACAGGTGGGGGGGGGGGGGGGGTACTCATAGTCGTGCATGCCGTAATCGTTAGACCATTGACCTCCCATCCCTACAAAACCGGGACGGAGCACGTCGGGTTCTCACCGGACCAGGCTCTCACATCACCAAGCGCGAAGCGCCGTGAGGTATTCGGCGAGTCGCATGAAGGGTGCGCTGCATCCTGCTAAGGGTGTTCGGCATCTTGTGCTTACTTCCTTGCGTACGGATGACAGCTGCGTATGGCTTATTTTATTTTCTGGTGCTTTCACTTCCAGAGACAGTTATAGCACTGTGTAACTGCCTCGAGGATGCTTGACCATTTTACACAACGTGGTGCGATCATCTCCCTTTGCGCGGAGTGAGGGTTCTCCACCCCGCACAACATGATCTACTCGACCACCATTATGGTTACCGCCAAAAAAAAAAGGAAAAAACAAACGGTAACATGGTTGCTGAGCTCACAAAGTGAATTTGCTTGTTTTACAACGTCGTTGCCAACCAACCAAAACCCAATCCCGATGGCAAACACCGAGGGGGGGGCTTGTTTTACAACGTCGTTGCCAAGCGACGAAAACCCAACCCCGATGGCAAACACCGGGGGGGGTGGTCCATGGGGGGGGGGGGGGGAGGGAGAAAAATGAACAAAGCATGGGAACCCCTCCCA